CAGGTGCTCAGGCATGAAAATATGCCGCTCAAACACTATACTTTTCCGCTCACACGGAAAAAAAATTAGAGGGAACATTGGTCCAAAAGCCATTTTTCATTATAGCACTTCGATAATGTTATTAAAAAATGTTGTTTCAGGAGTTGCCTGCTGAAGAGCTCTGTGCAACTCTAAAGAAGTTATTTGAAGAACAGGTATTGCCTTGTTTATACCTATTGTATATAATTTGGTATAGCTATATATTTTGCAATTAGGGAAGCATTGTGCCTTTATACAAGAATTCTGAATTATATTTGTTTAATATATTGATATAAGTCTAGGAATTTTGATCGATGGATAGAGCAAATTTTGCAATCACCTTTCCTCTCATCAGTGGAATGATTAGGTGATGAGAACACTAAAAGTGATCTGCATATTGTGCTGATCCATAAAAGATTTGTCTATGCAAGAACGTAATGCCCACTTTCATTAATACAAAGCTGCAAATCAGCTGTGCTAAAAACAGACCTTAATTTATACCCCATTCAAGTTCTTGTTAATAGGTTACTGGTTTTGTTACTTGTCTAACTGGTGTAAGGAGAAAGTTCTCTCTCCATGTGAAATAATGGAGATTGTAATTTTGATTGTAATTGTGAACCATTTCTTTCAGCCACTGTACAAATTCCATGGTCTTTATTTATGTAAACTCTGTCAATGATAATGGTACAGCGGTAGTTGCTTAGTAGATTGCATCGGGGTTGCTTGAGTTAATAATTCCAGGGCATGTTTATAGACCATTTGTTTATTTATTTATTTTAACAAACACCAAGGCTTTAACATATTTCAGTACAGCAGTAATAAGCATATAATTATGAGTATGACTGTGTAAATAAAAACACATTTATAATTTACTTGTACTCCACGTAATGATAATGTGTATACAGTGGAGATTATCTATGGACATTTGGAACTTTGTGAATGGAAACTGTCTGTGCTGTGTTTGCAAAATGTGTTGAAGGAATATGCGACTAATGTTTACCGAAGTCTGTGATGTTGTGCAGGCACAAGAGTCATCTTAAGTAGAAAGACAACTCCCAAAATGTCTGAAGCTTTAAAGAATAGTTTTTAAAAATCTGTTTGCCCATTAAGCATTTATTCCTGTTCTCCTGCTTCAACCAATTTATTTGGATAGCCTTTCCTTTTAAGAAACAGCAGCCTCTTTTTCCAAAGTCCAAGTAAGTAATATATAAAATGTTGTCTTTGTTTTGCAAAGAGGCTGGCAATCTTGTGTGACGCATTAATGATAACAACTACAAATATGGCTTCCATACACTAATCTGTACCAAAAAGAAAATATTGGTTTATCTATACTTTGCTTTTCTCAGTTTCATGGTAAACATTGATTTCCTTGTCTACTCCCCAGATTGCCCAAAATAATTGATTAAGGCTTTCTTCATTTCAGATTTAAAATCTCCTTCTTGGGCCGGGTTTCTCCCAGTATTAATTTTATTTTCATGGATTCATTGTCAGGCGCCATACAAAGGCTTTAATGATGCAAATCAAAGTGCTTGTAACATTTTCACCATATATAAAGTATTAAGATTTATTGAAAAGTTGTCATAGATTCAGTTCTGTGAATTCACAAATGGATGCTTCAGATTGTCTTGCAAACTCTTCAGAGAAAGAATATTTTTTCAAAATAGTTTTTCTAAAAGTTTATATGCTGATATTATTTGGGCATTATGTGGATAAACTAAGTATCAATTCTAAATGATAAGTAGCATGCCTAACCTTTGTTTGTTTCTTGTATTTTAAAACTTCACTTTACTTTTAAATTTGGTGACAAATTTCAATATTAATCAACATTTTCCCATATATTTCAGAGGCAGATTTACAAATTTCTTTTTTAACTTACTTTTTGACTTTTGCCATAAGCGTTTGGTTCCTAAAAAATATTAAAACATAAATTTTCACTTACTATTACAAATGCCCAGAATGGATACAGCAGTCAAATCATTGAAAAAATTACTTTCAAAATCCTATTATGTTTTCTTTTCCTTTTAACCAGGTAGATAAGAAGATTGTCCGAACAGAGATAGGTGTTCTTCTTCGACTTTCACATCCAAATATTGTAAGTTGTATCTGTTTGCAAGCCCAGATTTAAAAATGTTAGCCTGCATCTTGATTTCTGATTGTGGACATATTTTCCTCCTCTTGCTGCGCATAAGAAGACCAAAAGAACTCTACATGTTTTAAATTTGTCCATATTTATTTATTTATTAGTATGTTCTGGGAAGCATCAGAGTTTTGTCCACTTAAAATTATTTTCAGTAGTCAAGATATTTCAAACACTCTGAAGAATCACTTAAGAAAGTAATGTTTAGTGCATGCTTTTTTAATTATGCTTTCTACTGAACCATCAATTGGGAAGTTTTTAATTCGAGAGAGAGGAGGAGAGAAATTGGGAGGGAGGGAAATAAAAATTATAATATATCCAAACTATCAGATAATATTTAAGATACATCTATTTATTGTAAATTATGTACATACAGGAAAGAAGGGAAAAATAGACAATTGCTTACTTTGTTGCTTTTCTCAGATAAAATTGAAGGAGATATTTGAAACCCCCACAGAAATCAGCCTTGTCTTAGAACTGGTAACAGGAGGAGAGCTGTTTGACAGGTATCTGGTGGATTGTGCATGTTGTTGTACTATATGTTGCCCAAATATTACATTATAATATATATATATATATTCATCTGGGTTTAATATTTTTTAGAAGAGGCTGAAAATGCATTATTTTCTCTGTGACATGTGTTTCAGTGGCTGGAATTCTATTTTAAGAGATATGAGTGTAGATCTTCAGGTCTGTTCCAGTGAGCTGGCCAGCCTCTTCATCTTCCCACCTACTTAATCCAGTTTAAAATACATTGGCAATACATTTGTGCAGTTTTGACTATTTTCAAATCTATCTAAGCAGCAGGATACTATGAGCGCAGCCCAGTTTGTATGTATGTTTGGCTTGCAGAAAACCACTTGCTAATTAGCTCTTTCCCATTTTGCAACGTTACAGAAATAAGTGCACCAATCAGTACTTGTTTGCCAGTAAATCACCACATAGCTTAGTTCCTCATAGCCAAGGCTTAACATAACATCCTTTTTTAACTTTTCCAGGTGCTTCTGTGCTCACCATATTGACAGACTACCATTGCCTACTAAACCCATAAGGCTAGCATGCTAATAATTCTGCATTGGATGGTTTTTTGGTGACTCTAAAATGCCAGCCTGAGAAAGGCAGTGCTAAGTCCTCGACTTGCGATTGGTCCTAAAGTCCTCGACTTACAACCGGCCGCAAGTCCTCGATGCACGACTGACAGCCGGCAACAGCCCAGCCACGCCTGATTGGCTAAGGCACGGCTGGCTGAGCACGGGCTGCCTAAACATTCCTATTGGTCACCCTGCTTGACAGCTCCCGTATAAATAGCTGTCAAGCAGGGCGAGGTTCTGAATCGCTGTACATAGTTATTGTTGCTGTTCTCTTACCTCAGCCGCCTCACACCTCTTCAGTCAATACTGAATATAACACTGGCGACAAAGGTGGGATGCTGACGGTTCCTGCCTGAACAACCACAGAAAGGAAGCTCAGTTACTTTCCTTCTGTCTCCAAGAGAAAAAGAATTTTTTTTCCTCAAGCCACCACAGCCATGGCTTTGCTCCCACCGTTTGCACCCTTCGGAACTGCTGGCGAGTCATGGGCTGACTTTTTGGAATGCTTTGAGTGCTTCCTCATAGGATATAATAACCACAATTTACCCTCGGACCACAAATGTAGTTTCTTCTTAAGCTCGTGCAGTCCTGATATGTTTAATACGGCCAAGGCTCTTGTTTCGCCTTTGGCCATGTACGAACTAACTTGGGACACTCTTATCAGCAAACTAAAGAAACCGCTATGCCTCGACTGACTCTAAGAAAATCACCATGTCTCTGCTGCTTGAAGGGTCGCCCTGCTCTATGGAGGTCGACTCAGCCTCCTTCCACTCCCTCCTCTCCTAGGCCACCCTCTCCCAGTTGTGCCCAACCATCTCCCGCGACCACCTGACGCCACCTGATATGACCCTCAAGGACTACCAGGGGACTCAAATTCCCACCCTAGACAATTACTCTGTGTGGGTTGATTATGGGGCTTTCCATGGTAATCTCCCTGTCCTGGTAGTGGGAAAGCCATTACCTGCCCTGTTGGGGCTTGACTGGTTCCCCTCCCTGGGCCTTTCCCTCCTGGGGGTTCATCAAACCACGGCCTCTCCACCTACCATTGAGGATGTCATTTCAGACTTCGCTGATGTCTTCGATGATAAGTTGTAGGAATATAAAGGTACCCCTATTTCCTTGAATTTGGACCCCCAGGTTGCCCCTATCAGGCTGAAGGTTCGCAGGGTGCCCTTTGCCTTGAGGCCGAAGGTTGATGCAGAGATTGACAAGCTATTGGCACAGGGAGTCCTGGAGCCCATCAACCATTCCAAGTGAGAGACCCCTATAGACCCAGTTAAGGCCGACGGGTCTATTCAGCATCTGCGCTGACTATAAGTCGACCATCAACCTCGGCCTCCAGGCAAACCCCTATCCAGTCCCTGTGGTGCATCACCTGTCCATTCCTTTGGGCAGGGCTGCATCTTTGCCAAACTGGATATGGCGCAGGCCTACCAGCAGCTCCCGGGGGATGATGAGGCCGCGGCGGCCCAGACTATCGTCACCCACCGAGGGGCTTTCCATTGCTGCCGCCTTCAATTCAGCGTTTCCATTGCCCCAGGAATCTTCCAGAGCCTCATGGAGCGCTTTCTCCATGGGCTCCCAGGCGTAGTCCCCTACTTCGATGATATCCTGATCACTGCCCGCAGCCTCTCAGGTCTTGAGCGGAAGGTCCTCGAGCGTTTCAGGGGCCCGGGCTTAAAATTAAAATGCAGCAAGTGCTCATTTGCTGTGCCGAGGGTGGAGTTCCTGGGCTTCTTAATAGATGCCCAGGGCATCCACCCTACCCCCTCCAAAGTTGCTGCCATCTGGAATGCCCCCATGCCCGCCTCTAAGGCGGAGCTGCAGGCGTTCCTTGGCCTCTTGAATTTTTACACACCTTTTCTACCTCATAAGGCATCACTAGCCGAGACGCTACATCGGTTGCTGGACCGATCTGTGGCTTGGTGCGGGGGCAGCCGCAAAGCGCATGCAATTGTGGCTGTCAAAGCTATGCTTATGTCAGCGGCTGTCTTAGTGCAGTATAGTGACAAGCTGATGCTGGCATGTGATGCCTCCCCTTTTGGTCTGGGGGTGGTTCTGAGCCATGTCCTCCCCAATGGCTTCGAGGCCCTCATTGCTTTTTATTCCCGGACACTCTTTTCCGCTGAGAAGAACTACAGCCAGATCGACAAAGAGGCTCTGGCTGCCGTGTCCAGGATTAAAAAGTTCCATGACTATACAGATGGCATTTTACGCTCTTCACTGACCACAAGCCACTTCTTGGGCTTCTGGCCGGTGACCGCCCCACCCCTCCCATTCTCTCTCCTCGGATGATTCATTGGACAGAGTTCCTCACAGCATATTCCTATATGCTACAGTACTGTCCAGGCAAGCAGCTTGGGCATGCTGATGCCCTCAGTGGCTGCCCCCTCCCTGCTGCTGAAATGCACCCAGTGCCCTCCATGTCTGTGATAGCCTCTCTAGACCTGCCTCTTACTGCCTCGGACGTGGCGGCCCACTCTATGGCCGACCCTGTCATTTCCCAGATTTTCTCGTGCGTCTTAAGGGGTCTTGCGGCACCTCTTTGTGACCCACGGGTTGCCGGATATTATCGTGTCCGACAATGGGCTGCAATTTGCGTCCACGGCCTTCCAGGAGTTTCTGGCCATGCAAGGGATCCCCCACATGCCTACCGCCCCATACCATCCTGCATGCAATGGCTGGGTGGAACGTACTGTCCACTCGGCCAAAGAGGCATTGGGCAGGATGGACCGGGGTTACTGACCCCTGTTTCCACCAAAAGCTCCGCTGAGCTGCTGATGGGCCGACGCCTGTGGACCACCCTGGACAGACTGCACCCACTCTATACAGGGCAAGGGGTGGAGTGCTGACCTAAGAGGTCAGTCGCCCCGGTCCATCCTGCCCCCCCCCGCTCCTTCAGAGAGGGGGACTTAGTCTATCCTCGAAATTTTGGGGGGATCCAAAGTGGGTGCCTGCCACCATCACTACTGTAACCGGTCCCTGCTCTTAAAGGGTCGGCTTCCCAGATGGCAGTGAGTGGCGGCGCCATGTGGATCAACTTAGGCACCGCCTTCCACCTGGGGCCTCCGCTCAATCAGGCCCTTCCTGCCCAGCCGCCGTCGTCCAGCAGCCAGCCCAAGTTCCGTTTCAACCCGTGGTTCCACTGTTGCACGAAAATCCATTTGAGGCCTTCGCCCAATCAGGCCTTCCCTACCCTGCTACCACCTTTCAGCAGGTGGCCCAAGTTCTACCTCCGTCCGCAAGTGCACCTCCTGGCCTTTTCCAGCGTGAGATCTTCACCCAATCAGGCCTCGCCTATCTGGCCACCCCCTTCCGGCAGACCCAACCAGTCTCACATCCATCTGACACGCCCCCTCGCCTGGACTTACCCATTTTGCAGGATCCGTCTTCTGGGATAGGCCGCAATGATGTCGCTTGGAGCTACACTCCCTTCAGAGAGGAGCTACCACAGGGACTCCTTACCTCGTTGACGGCGCCTCTACAACTGAGGCGTTCTTGGCGGGTCCGACGCCGGCCCGCCTACTGAAGCGATAACGCAGGCGCCATCGCTAGGGGGGAAGGAGTGCTAGGTTCTCGACTTGCAATCGGTCCTAAAGTCCTCGACTTATGACCGGCCACAGGTCCTCGATGTACGACTGACAGCCGGCAACAGCCCAGCCATGCCTGATTGGCTAAGGCGTGGCTGGCTGAGCACAGGCTGCCTAAGCATTCCTATTGGTCACCCTGCTTGACAGCTCCCGTATAAATAGCTGTCAAGCAGGGCAAGGTGCTGAATCGCTGTACATAGTTATTGTTGCTGTTCTACCAAATAAATGGCTGTTCTCTTACCTCAGCCATCTCACGCCTCTTCAGTCAATACTGAATATAACAGGGAGGTGCAAGGAAAGCCAAGAATCTGCTTATGACTAAGTCCATCTGATGGCTACTTAATTGTTTAGATCAGGGGTCCTCAACCCAGGGCTGCGGCCTAGTACCAGGCCATGGCCTGTTCAGAACTGGGGCATGTGAGCGTCAGGTGAGTGCACATATGCATACAGCTCCACTTGAAAGAGCAGTGGACACTTGTGTTTACGTGCATAGCTCGACCCATACAAGTTCCAGGTGCTTGCAAGTAGAGTTTTGCAAATGCCAGCCTCTTGCGCACAGTGGAGCTGCATGTGAATGGAGCTGTGCGCTCAAGCAGGAGGCATTTGAGCTCAAGCACAAAGCTCCCCTCACATGAGCAGCACACACTTTCGCTTGCACAGAAAGCTCCACTCACACAAGTGGTGGAAGGTTGCACTTGCACAAATGGAGCCTTCCACTCACACAGAACTATCCTCCCTCCCCTTGGAAAGGTTAGAGACTGGTGGTTTAGGTGATTGTAGACTTAATTTTTCCTCTACTTACTTGACTTTTAAATTTTTGTTGCCTTTTTCTGTTCTTCTGTTTGTTGTTATTGTTTTATGTATTCATTTTTTTTTTAAAAAATAGTTCAGGTAGTCCTTGATTCAGCAACTGTTTGAAGTTGTGACAAAACTCCCCAGGGCTACATACAACCCAGATTTAAAGTTCCAATTGCTGCCCTGCCGTGATCACATAATAGCATTTGGGGCAACTGGCCTGCATTTACAGCTTTTTGCAATGTCCCACAGTCACATATTACAGTTTATGATGTGGTTTATGATGTTTCTGTTTATGATGGAGTTGGGTGTTTTTTGCTGGAAATTGCATTAAATTAATTCTGATTTCCAGCAAATAATGCCCATTGTGGACAATACATTCTCTTAATTATTTGGAGTTAATCCCTGCAATAAAGGCCACAATTGGATATGATTGCATGGTGACCTACTAAATGGTGTGCACAATGTATGACAATAATTCCAGGTTCAATTATGGCCATAAATCAAGGAATAATTGTAGATAAGATTGGAAATCTAAATCAAGGAAGTTAACACGAATGTCTCTATGAGGTTATTAGGAACTGAGCTGTTTGCTAGAGTCCTTACTTCTCCATTATCATATTATATTCAAAATATTTATTTATTAAACCAGAGTAAAGTTGTTTTTAGTGATAGCTTTATCCACCAAATCATGATAGATTATATTGTTGCTTGATTATTCTGTGATTTATTTTAATAAATTTGCCTAGAATTGTGCTGTTCTAGAAATCCCTGAGTTTGAATGGCATATTTTTGTTTCTTTATAGAATTGTGGAAAAAGGATATTACAGCGAGCGAGATGCTGCTGATGCAGTGAAACAAATCTTGGAGGCAGTTGCTGTAAGTTTTACTAGCCTCAGATTAATATTTCATTAATCTCAAAATACTTGTTTGAGCAGTATAGACCACTAAATGAAAGAAAAACTTCTTGATAACAATCCAAACTCATATATTTATCAATGTCAATCAATGATCAAAACAACATAGGAGGAAGACCATGAAAAAGCACACTTACTTTATACTTCTTTCACCACCATACTAATGTTTCTCCTCATACTGAAGACAAACATCTAAAATACAGAATCAGTTCTTGACATAGAATGACTTTTCTTAAGCTCAGAATCCCAGCAGCTGAATGATGCTTGGTTTCTGGAAGGCTGCCCCAGAGGTTCTCTGTATGAGGTAGCACTGGAATGTTCTTGGCAGCACCATCTAACTTCCCTGGCTACACTATCTTTATCTATTTATTATTATTTTTAATTTTATTTTTATTTTTTATATTATATATTATTAATTTAATTTTAATTAGTATATTAATATTTTTTATAATTTTTATTTTATTTATTATTTATATTATAGTATAAATGTGAATTGCAGTGAAATGTTAACCTGAATGCTCATAGTTTAATATTCTTCTAGATTACTATATAATCCTCTAATCCTCTCTATCTCTGTCTGTCTGTCTGTCTGTCTGTGTGTGTGTGTGTGTGTGTGTGTGTGTGTAATTAGTGTCACAACCCCTGGTATGCCCAAATATGGGAGGAAGCTCACCGCTTCCATTCTCTGTCTATTGGCTCGTCACAAGAGACCATCCAGACAGAAACCCAATATTTTTTTTACTTTGTTACATTTGTGTTGTATTTGTGCTTTATTTATTTATCAGCACAAATACAACACACACACACATATATATATACTGTATATATAAATGGCTGTGTACGTGTGTGTATGTTCCAGCATAACTCTGGAACGCCTCGAGCAATTTCAACCAAACTTGGAACACAGATGTCTTTCTTTCTGAAGAAAAATAATGTGGAATAAGACACCCCTAACACTCCATCCTGCTTCATTTTGTATCAGTTGAAGTTTCTAAATGCTCTTCAAGGGCAACTACACGCTTAGCATATTGCAGTGACAGAGCAAGCTGTCCCTGTCTAGGAATAGGCACAATTGGTACACAATACAGTGTGTAAAGGTCCTTCTCACTATAGTTGCCACCTGCTCTTTGATATCCTTTTCATCATTCTTAGTCCCGTTTGTTTGTTGCTGTGGTAATAACCGATCTTCCATTTACAGTTGCAAATGGTGTTGCAGATGTGATTGTATTTCATTCCAGTTATTCTCATAAAACAGTCTGTGACCTTTGAAAGATGCCTAATTCATCACACTTTCCAGCTTCTGGTTTCCCAGGTTCAGGAACAGGCAAGACATGGAACAAAATATACAGTTAGAATCCTCTCTCAAGTTATGGCTTTGATGTCGATAAAGGCAATAAGGGAACAGATCAGAAGAGGCCTAGAATCTATGAACTTATTCAGTCCCTAGAACTAACATCATAGCATCTATGTAGCCATAATGATTTAAGGAAAATGAAGGAAAATGGGAAAAGAGAGCTGAAGTAAAATGCCAGCTGAAGTAAAATGAGTTTAGGATAATTTTAATAAGAAGATTTGTTTCAGTTCTCAGTACTTGGATTATTTTATAAATGCATAATATTTGCATTATTTATGAATTGTAATTGAATGGTGGCATTCTACTTACAGCATGCTTAAATAATATGTTCTCATTGTTTTCCCCTGCCCTTCGTACTCTCTTTCTGTTCCAATGGGAAGCATTATCGGGATTGAAGAATTGAGGAAAATTACTAAAAGACTCTTCTATGTTTACATCAATAGAAAAATCCATTAGATCTAATATTCCAGGGGGGGCAATATAAATGGAACCTAGCTCAATCAATTTTATAGAAAATAATTCATTTAATTGCACAATATATGCCTACTGTATAAACAAACACCCTATATGAATATTTAAAATGCATGGGACTCCTTATGCTGCCATGGAACAGCTCCAACATAAGTTTTATTCTTGATTGATTATTATTGTCCACTGGTTTGCCACTTTCCAAATATACCAAAGATTATAACACTCTATGTCAGAAACCAGTAATAACATTACTCCTATTTGGCATTGTCAGCAGTGGAAGTTGCGAGGCTATTTCGTTCAATGACATTTGAAGGGCCATATGTTTCTCAACTGTGTTCTTTATAGTGAGAATTTAATTATTGTAATTTCAGTCATAGGTAACATTCTGTTCAAACCGAGGCAGTCAATATGCTGCTAGTCTAATCTGCACAGTACATTGCAATAATTCTCTGTTACTGGGGGATATGTGTGTGTCTCTGTTCTCTCTGTCTAAGATTGCAGGTAGTCTTACAAATACAATTTACTTACAAGTACCCTGTTTTCCCGAAAATAAGACCTCCCCGGATAATAAGCCCAAGCGGGCTTTTGAGAGCATGCGCTAAAGTAAGCCTTTCCCCGAAAATAAGCCCTCCCCAAAAATATTGCAACACAGTAGCAGCCATGAGGTGACCACACTTGCCACCTCCTGCACCTCAAAACTAATAAGAACTCCCCAAAAATAAGGCCAAGTGCTTGTTTTGAGGGTCAAAAGAAAATAAGACCCTGTCTTATTTTCGGGGAAACACGGTATAATTGGGACCAGGATTTCTATCACCAAGTGAGTGATCATTAAATGAATCGCACCCAATTTTATAACCTTTTTTGCTATGGTCAATAAGCAAATCTCCATGATTAAGTGAATCACCCAGTAATTGAACAAATCCAGCTTTTTCCATTGACTTTGCTTGTTGGAAGCTGTCTAAGAAAGTAACAAATGGTGATCATAACACCTTGGTTGCTGCACCATTATAAATACATGCTGGTGGCCAAGTGCCTGCATTTTGATCATGTGACTGCAGGGACGCTGCAGTATAGTAATTGTAAGTGAAGACTGACTGTAAGTCACTATTTTCAATGTTGTATAACTTCAAATGATTGCTAAACAAATGGTCATAAATTGAGGACTACTTGAACCAGGTCGTTAAACGGATTTTATTTTTTCTTGAAATAAGAAAATCATAAGTAATTCAGATTCCAAAACCATATCGCTTTTATTCAGTTTGATTTCAATGGTAGCATATTCTTTAAGTATATACTGTTTGCTGAACCCTTAACATGATTTACTATGGAATCATTACTCAATTAGCTGCTGTATTTTATTAACTCTCTTCTCCTTTAAAATAGGACATCAGCATTAAAATATCATTTTTTGGCTCCCCAAAGACTAGATTCTGCATCTAGGCTGCTTTTACTATAATTCATTCTGTTCTTAAGGATGCTACTTTACAGTATAATAACTAAAATTATATTTAAACTAAAATATATTTAAATAACATTTGTACTGCTGGAAAAATAGGATTCCTTCACTGTTTGCATTTACAAAAGTATTAAAAAAAATTGTATTAATTATGAGTTTTCCTTGGTACATTTATTTGCTCATTTATACAGGTAGTCCTTGACTTATGATCGATCATTCATTTAGCGATCACTCAGAGTTATGATGGCACTGAAAAAATTATTTACGACTAGTCCTTGCACTTATGACCACCACAGCATCCCCATGGTCATATGATCCAAACTCAGGTGGTTTGGAATTGTCATGTATTTACAACAATTGCAGCATCCTGGGGTCACATGATCACCACTTGCAACCTTCCCAGCCATCTTCCGACAAGCAAAGTGTTATGTTCTGGGTGAAGAATGGAGGTGAGGCCAGAGTGACTTCTAACAGCTCTTTATTCACTACTGCCTGTGAGGCAACTGTTGGATCCCAGCAGGGTGACTCAGATTTAAGTCTCAATTTTATAATGGAATTCATTTGGTGACTTTGGGTTTGTTTTTTTCTTTATTAGCCTAACCTATCTCACAATCCTAAGGTCATAGATTTAAAATTAAAAGGTGTTCCTGTGAAAGCCTATTAGAAAAAAATTTGGACGTAAAGACAATAAATAAATAAATACTCTTTTAGAATATACTGCTTTGATAACTATATGGAGCAAGAGTGGAATATAAATATTTTAAATAAAAACACACTATTCAGTGTAGCAAAATAAACTGATCCAGTTTCCACATTTCATTCCTTTAAAAAAAAACAATTTCATTTGATTGATGCATTTGCTACATGATAAAATGGAAAAGATGCTTTATGAACTTATATTTTTAAACCTTACTTTGTTATCAAAATAATAATAATTTATTAACCTGTCTTTCAGCCATTTTGGGTGGCTAAAAGAGTGGTAAATCTGATAATTATATCTATATTTGAGTAACTTTATTGAAAAATTGTGTAAATTTCACTTGTTGATTCCAATATGCTGCTAACACCAGATTATTTATTTATTGCAAGCATTGTTGTGCTGCTTCACACTGTTGAAAAGATATAACACAAGGAAACAGCAGCAGGTAATAGAAAGGGTTATGTTTCTCATTCTTGAGAACTGAGCCTGAAGCCATAATGTTGTACCATTTAAAGAAAAGGTGAAATAAATCTCAGAAAGCATTATCTAAAATAGTGTCCTGTGAAGTGAAAAGAAAAAAGAAAGCTTTGTATCTATAGGGCTGAAGAAGTGACAGAGTAATTTCCTCAGGGCATATCAGACATGATTCATGAAAGCAATTCATTTGCCCAGAGAAATGTAGATGCATGCCAGTGACAAAAACTAGAGGTTATACAATAGCCATAGATAAAGGAAAGGCATGGCGTGGGGCCACTAGATATTAGAAGAAAAAGTGCAAAGTCAAGAACAGTCTTTTGCTGAGGATTAGAATGAGGGCAAAGGAGGAAAAATTTCAACAGCAGGAAAAGAAACCAGTCTGGAAAAAACATAGCTATATAAAGGCAGCAACTGAAAGAGACATAAGAAACAAAACAAAAAAAAGATTATATGAATAGAAGTATTGGGTGGACCAGCACATTCCTACTTATTTTCAGGAAATCATAATTAATTCTAGCCATCCCACTTCTTTCTTGTTCTCCTTTGAAATTCAAGAATTTCAGCTTTCTTCTTGGTCACCCTAACCCAAAACAGATTTCTAGTCAAAATGGCACTGGAGAAAAAAATGATATCACTCTTGACAGCCTGACAGGTCTTGGCTCATGCTAATAGGAAAGAGAACAATGATACAACTCCTGGAACAGAGGCAATTGTAGACCCAGGTAGAGCAAAAAAGCACCAGGCTAGAGAGAAACAAAGGAAGAAAGAGACTGAAAAGATAGAGGATGGAATAGAAGTGAGTTAGAAGTGAGTCAGTGTACAGAAGAAAATAAGAGTTGAGGGGGGAAGGGGAGAAGACAAGAAGCAGAAAAAGAGACAAGGAACTAGTGGTAAGAACGAAAGTGAAGAATGAATAAGCTTGATGAGAAAAGAAAGTTGCACAAAGTCACCAGAGGAATAGGAAATACTTCATTCCTCTGTGAGGGAGGCTTGGAAACATCTTTCAGCCATAGTCCTCCAGGATCTAATCGAATCCTATCAAAATCAGTTGGCTGAACTCTAGGAAAGGCCTCATCAAAGAACGAAGCTAGCACTGGTTATGTTACCTATGTTAGTTGGGGAATGAAATGTCTACAAGAAAACAAGCAAGCTCAGAGAGCACCAAGGACCCTTGAATGAAGCTGTTAAAAGTCTGTTAACTCAATTGTTATGAGGGAAGAATTAGAGCAGGGTGTCCAACCTTAGCAACTTTAAGACTTGTGGACTTCACTCTCAGAAAGGCTGGCTGGGGAATTCTAGGAGTTGTAAGTGTTAAAGATACCAAGATTGGACACCCCTGAACTAAATTAATCCAATTGTTTCAACTGAAAAGTTAAAATAGACTTCTTGATGTTCACAAGCAGTTATGTAATTCTGATATAATTTATTGTTGTGGAAGCTGTGACCATACAACTATTTACCCATTTCCTCCACCTGTGGCATTTCCCCCACTTCCTGATTAGCTCTGTATCTGGGTGGTTAGCTTTATACCTAGATGATCCCATCTTATTATTGTTTCCAGCTCTGCAGTAGCACAGAGGGCGTAGTAAATATGTTTTTACAGTGGAAACCTGAGGCTTACAGACAGCTACTTTTCAACTGTATAGCACCTTGCATTAAAACCAATTTACTAATCATGGTTTCCTGAATTAATTATAATGGGCTGGTTTCACATAACATGTTGACTCTAAACAAACCACAGTATGACTTTGCATGTTTTGTGAACTTAGGTAGTCTCTTGTTAGATATGAAAAAAATATTATGCATCCACGATCATGTTCTTCTAGACAAATCAGGATTGTCTTAGATCAGGGGTACCCCAACCCCCAGGCTATGACTCACTACTGGGCTGTGGCCTATTTGAATCCGGGCCGTGTAAGCGAAATGCCCGTGTGTGCCCACAGCTCAACTTTCTCAAATTGAGCTATGTGCGTATGCATGCTGGCCTGCCACTCACGGTGCCCAGTTACTCTCTCCTCCCCAGATTGGCCGCCAAGTACAAGGGTTGGGAACTGCTGTCTTAGACTGATTAAGATTGATCAGTCTTAGACTGATTTTCCATGAAAACGCTATACTATATGATTTAAAAAGTGTACACACATACATATTCATTGTGGTATTTGATTAATGGCAGGAAGTAAAAGAAAAGAAAATCTAACTAAATCTAGTTTATAGCATTGCCATTTACTATCTCTCCCTACTGTCTTTTATCTTATAAACATTGTTTCTTTCTCTATTTCCATACCCTAATTTGTACTGTGTCTTTTGTTTATTGAAACCTCTCATCTTTTTCTTTTTATGATCTCAGCAGCTCTATCCAGCCACAAATTTTTGTCTTCTCATTCCCATTGACTGATTAACTATTGCTCCATATATTTCTTTTATGTTTGGATCCTCCTTCATTTTTTTTTCTATAAAACACTTTCTAGTACTTCATTTGTATTGGCCACCCACTTTTAAGTTCAACACATGTTCACTCACATTTTGACTGCAGGTCTTATTGTTTTACCACACACAAAGATACATACACAAAGTACACCATTTGCACTTCATTCAGTCTTGTCCACACACCAAAAATAGATCAATCAGTAACCATTTTAATCCACTGCTTTCTCAGGCCCTTTGGAAAGGCCACAAACAGTATTTATTTGCAGTTTTATCTTGATACTCATGGACTGTGGTTCATAGTGATTGTTAGACTTCCTCTTTTATTTTCATTTTCCATATGAATGTGCAAGTTGTTTTTGACATTACAAGTTATATATTTTTTCTATTTTCAGTACATGAAATTGTGGTCTGCAGAATTATTTTATTTCTTAGATTTGTATTCCACTCTTCTCCAAAAGTCAAATCCATATACATAATAATACACAGTATTATGAAAATGTATTAATTGTATGAAATAACATTGTATACCCTCACATTCCTTCTAGTATTTACATGCCAATGGAATTGTTCACCGGGATTTGAAACCAGAAAATTTATTGTATGCAACTCAGGCTCCAGATGCACCTTTAAAAATAGGTAATTGATAATTACCGATAGTATCTTTTAGTAGCATCCTTAGCAAGTTGGTACTAAAGGGTATTGTGGGACCTCAGATTCAGCAGTGACATAACCAAAGCAATAGAGACATAATCAAAGCAATATTTAGGGTGCACAATGAATTAAGCTAGAAACTATTGCAATAGATAAGTTGCATAAAACAATTTTCTAGAATAAAAAGGAGCGAGTGACATAGAATAGAGGTAATACATAAATTAGAAACAAAGTCACTTTGTTCATATTGCAGCCTTGTACAATTCCCAAAGAATGAAGCAAGTTAAAAATAACTATGTCTGATGAAGGACAAAGCTGCTGCTAGCCTAAATCAACCACTGCTTGTTCCTAATTAGACAGAGGGAGATGATATATGTAAGCAGCTTGACAAAAGACCTTGTTTGGATCACAATTTTATCTTCTCCTCTAAGAGAACAGCCTGTGATCACAGATCAATAAAACTTTAAAACATCCTTCAGTTTTAGGTTTATTGCATTTAACAAGGGGAAAGCTTTTCTTATAGTACTTGCCCCATTCATTTCATGCTGAAGAGGATTAATTTCTTCTTCTTTCATATTTTCATTCTATCCCAATTATGCAGACAACATTCCAGAACCAAAGTTTGATTCACAGACTTCTGCATGCAGCTGTAATTCTTTGAAATTCGAAAATAATTATTCTCATCTCCAAATTTACATTCTTTTATACAGTAATAATTTGTGTGCTTCATATGCCCCCTTCCCCATGTATTTCAGTGCATGCTGTTTTACAGATAGACACTGGAACATTATTCAGTTATGATGTTGTGTGTTTAAAAGACATGCAATTGGGAAGAAAAAGAACAATCATACAACCTGTTTTCATTACTTTGCCACATAGCTGAAGGTCACCTTTTCCATCTATGTAGGCTTCCTACCTGACTTACAACATTGATTTGCTATGTCTAATTCAACAATCATTTCATAAGAAATATAATTTTCTGATTTCTGAATAACAGCTGATTTTGGACTTTCCAAGATAGTTGCAGATCATGTTACCATGAAAACAGTCTGTGGAACTCCAGGATATTGCGGTATGTTTCGGAACTTATCTTATTTTAGACCTGTTTTTATTTGTATTCTGTTGTTTTAACTTTCTATATTTTCTAAATTTAGCAACTATCACACTAAAAAAAAACCAAGCTCATATTAAAATATATACAGCTATATAGTATACACTTATTCAAAATATCATTTAGCTGCTCAAGTCATATACTAACTATAACCCTACATGGTTATAGAGAGAAGACCATCCAGATGGAAGCTGAAGTTTCTGGTTAAATGTATCAGTTTATAATACAATAAAATCTCTATTATACAGACTTCGGTTTAGTGGATTTCAGATGCAATGTTTAGATTTTTATATCAGACTTCACCCCTTGCAATGGTGTGGGTAATTGTTGTACTTTATTTCATTTGCACAGTATAACTCACATTTTATGTATTTTGCATAAATTTCTACCATATGCCCAACATTCACATGTTTATGAAAATAACAAATGAGGCAAATATAGTTTCTTGGTGTTAGAAATAAATCTTACCAGGTTCATTTCCAGGCATAAAGAACACAAGCAGTTGCTTGAATCAAAGGTGAAGTTTATTGCAAGAACCTAATACACAAAAATAACTTTGGGAGGCAGCCATGGTTAGACATTTCTCAAATGGCCCTTATATAGGAAAATTCTAACTTTTTTCTTTGAAAAATGTGCAAAAGTACCCCCTGCAGGAATTCTAAGAAAATGCATTTAGCCAGCTGAGAATAGGGCCTTTTGCAGTCAGGCAACCTGCTGAATTGTAGGTTCTACTTATTTAGCATTTGGCAATGAAAAATAGTAATCTCTTTGGGGCAGGGACCTTTTTTTATTAGTTGATCAAAGAGATTTAAGTTTCAGTCTGGGAACAATGTTCACCCAATCATAGTTTCAGGCAAGGAGGAGTGTTCACCCAATTAAATTGGCATTTTCTATTGCATTTTGATCTTTGTCTAGAGCCTATTTTGATTTGTGATTTTGAACCTTTTATCTTTGATTTCAGCAGGAAGACTCTATAGTGGGAGGACTTTGGCTGCCTTTCCACACTGGCTATCTGACAACACAGACATTCCTAAAAGACATACACCTTCTCAAGCACACTTGCAGGTTTAGAATCACCTTCTCCAAGGACAGATCTTGTTTATCATGTCGAGATAGATTTTTCTCCACCTCTGTCTGGGAGATAAAATTCTTTTTCAAATGTCTTAGGAGTTACTCTATGGAGGCTGGAAAAGTATGCTATTTCCATAAACAGTTTCTGATACACTGCTAGAATCTTCAGGAATCTATAAAACATCTTAAATAATTTCAGAAGCTATGTAGAAAGAACATCCACCAATTAATTTAAGGAGGAAATTTTGTCTTCTGAATGAAGCTTATCCCCCCACCCCCGTAATATTTAAATAATAGCAGTATTCATTAAAAGCATACAAAAAAGGTACAGACAAAAGTTTATGCATGCTTCTTGAAAAAGAAAATCTCTTAAGCAAATCTATTTTGAATATTTTAGGAAATCCCATATGAAGTTCAGAAATAGGTTGTTAAATGAAAAAATTATGCCCATATTATTCAGAATCAAATTGGCCAACATTCTCGAAAGTATTTGCCATAGTAACTTATAATTTTTGTTGTTTTAATTTTAGAACTGTTATGTCAAAGTATCATTCCAAAATCTCTTTCTTGCAGCTTAGTTGCTAAGCACATTGAAAGCTTTTAACTAGGACTAAAAATTACTTGCATTTCATACAGAAATATTCCACTTTTGCCTTTGTAAGTTCTATTTTATTTAGTTACATTTATAATTTTTTTCATGTTGAATTTGTAGAATTATGCTTTTTTTCTTCATGAATTTAGACCATATATTTAATGACTGTTATCTTGTTTTACTAACAAGATTTTTTTTAATCATTTGCAGCACCAGAAATTCTACGAGGGTGTGCTTATGGCTCAGAAGTGGACATGTGGTCCATAGGAATAATCACCTATATCCTGTAAGTTTAGAAGACATAAGTATGAAACAGGTGGCTATTTCATTATTTTCTAATAATCGGCATTTATTTACTGTGTCAACAAGACACAGTAAATCAATAATTTACCTTGCTCTGTTTTTAATGATTTGAAGCTTGAAAGTCCAACAATTATTGAAAGGCAAAAAAAATCAGGTTTTAAAATATGCATTAGTTTCAATTTGTTAAATTATGAGTTTTGGGGCATTATTTTCCTTTATCTTTATGGTAGCTTGTAGCTGCATGAGACAATGATTCTCCCTACACTGAGATTCATGAATGAGTTTGGATTTAAATCTAGGTTGCAATCCAAGGTATGCCAGCTCTGTCTCTTAAGAACTCTTCATAAAGCAAGGTATTTCCCCTCCCCTCACTATCACTGCTCCAAAATGGATATAAAAAAGAGACATGAAAATTCAAAGTAAATGGATGTTTACGTAGAGTGTAACAGTGTGAAAAAAAGTCTCAAGATGGAGAATGTGGGCTGAAGGGAGAGCCATTATTAGATGATGTTGATATGAAATTTTATTTATTATCTTATCACCATGCTTTGAAAACATAAAGGACACACATACCAATGTTTTGCTTTCTAAAAACTTTCTTCCTGCTTCTTCCTTTAAAAATGGGTATTGGTAATCATTTTGGGGATGAACTGAGGGGAAGAAGGCCATGATGCATTGCTCAGTTATGCAGGAGATGTAGAATAAGAACTCTATTGGTGTGAGCATAAGTCTAAGTAGATGAGTATTCTACAGTAAATGAACATATTGTGGCTTTCTTTTTCATGAGCCTTTCCATGCAGAAGAGTCTTCTCAAGCTCTTCTTCAATACCTGATTTTCAAGACCATCAATAACTGATTACCAAGCAAGAAAAGGGCCTTTTCAAGACATTCTAAGTGGAACAATTTTTCCTTTTTTTCTAGAAGGTTTTCCTAGCATTGTGTTTTTGTCATGTTCTGTCTTTATATTTATTTTACATACATACATGCATATCTACTTTTTCTCTTATCATATGTATGTATGTATGTATGTATGTATGTATGCACGTATGTTGATGGCAAAGAAAAGAAAGAGGAAGTAATGTCAAATTCTAAAAACTGCAAGAATAAAAATTGCCATTTAAATTAATTTAGCTCTAAATACAGGAAACCAGCAAATACAGTCATTAATGTATTGATGTATTAATTTATTAAATGATAGGTGGCACCTTGCAGATTTTCAGCTGATAACATAAACAGTTTTTAAAATCTAAATTCCTTTAAAATATGTTACTATTCCTTTAAAATATGTTACTATTCCAATATAATGTATTTTTTGTAAATATTAATACAAAACCAAGTGTCCACCCCTGTGTGCATCTGATTGCTTTCCTAGATTAGATCCTTGCATTAATTATTATTTTTATATAAACGTGGACAAAGACCAAATTAGATTGCAATCTTTATTTTCAGGTCATTTTTCATAACATAATTTCAAAGCTTGCTTCTGGTCTTTTAAGGTATTACCTATCCCACTTGTGTCATGTTATTTAATAAGCATTTCTTCTACTTCTTTGTCCAAGTGATTAATAAAAATATTGAAGAATACAAAGCCCCGAATGTTCCCTACTCAATACTTCCATCCAGTTTGCTGAAAAATCATTATTGAGCCCTCTTTGAGTTCAATTTTTAAGCTAGCTATTTACTTAATAATAATGCCATTCAACCCACATATCATGGAAAATTTGTCAAATGTTTTGCTGAAATCAAGATGTATTACGTCTGCAGCATTCCCACATTCTGTTAAGAATATATCCCAATCAAAATGAAATAAAATAACCAGTGCAAGTATTATTCTTGGGAAATCCATGCTGACTCCTAATTAATATTGCATTGGTTTTAAGGTTTTTTTGCAAATTAATTTGTGATCTTCTGTAGAACATTCAAAAGTAACAATATAAGACTACCCAGTTTATGGTTTCCTGTACTGACCCCCCGGCCTGTGAATAAACCAGAACACAGGCTTGGCTGTTTGCCACTGTTCAATTACTGAGATAACGAATCCTTTGGCTGAGGGCCCAGGCAACTTGTTCAATAGAGTAACTCTGCAGCAACACGTATAGTCCAAACGAACAGACACGGCTAGAATACACAGATAGATTTTCTTAACTATTAATTNGTTGTTTCCTGCAAATGTCCCCTCCCAACGCCTCACCTATAATCTCTCTTGGGAGGGGCCAATCAACAACCACCTGTGCTTAATCATCTTCTGTGAGTCTGCTTATGGGGTTTCTGTTTCTGTTTCTCAGCCCTTCTCAATCTAGCATCAGGGACAAACTGCCTTTGATCCTCCCCACTACTCCATGCCTCAGGCACCTCCTGGTGGCTAACTAGCCTCTTTGGTCCCTGCTCTGAACCCTGCCCAGGGTCCTCCACATCGTCCAGGGCAGACTCATATGGTTCCTCGCTATCTGAGTCCATCAGCAGCTCAACCGGATCCTGATAGGCCACAACAATTTCCTAAGCCAGCCTTCCTTCCTTCCTTCCTTCCTTCCTTCCATCCATCCATCCATCCATCCATCCATCCATAGGGAAAGCATTTGCCCTCCTACAGTCATCAACATTTCAAATGTTTTCTATGAGCTACTTATTTAGTCCAAATAATTTAAATTTATTCAGATTAAAGAAATATTCCCTAATCAGGTTTATATGACAAATGATTATTTAATCTGAATCAGCAGCTCATTTTGTTTTTTTTAGAAACCTTCACCAATCTCAGTTCAGCTTTCCTGAAACCATCCACAGTACTGCTCAATTGTCTTTCCTTGTTCCTATTTTCTATAGTACTGTATGTTGCCTTTTTTTTTGTTTTCAAACATTCATCTCATTTAGCAACAATTTTTTACTGCTCTCCATACTTTTCCTCAATAAGAAAAATAGTTGTAATTATGCTCCTAGCATTTTCTTTTTTAGAAAATTACCCATTGTAAGTTGCTTTTCTCATTAGTTTTTTTCTGCCCTGGAGTTATCATGCTAATTTTAATAACTTCTGCTTTTTTGAAATCTGTGTTCAACTTCACTGTTTTTCTAAAAATCGTGAATTGCAAATTCTTGCAAATAAAGCAAATCAGGATCTTCAATGGCTGTTTGTCAACCAAAGCATTACTGCATTCCATTTTTTCATATAAAATTTGTGCTTTTACAACCATACATTTCCAAAAGTATTAGTCCGAAAATATATATTTATATTTTAATTGCACCTAAAGCCCAATGAGATTTTAAAAATACATAGGTACTTTATTATAGAAGTCTAATGACTCCAACAATTGCTAACTGTTCATATTGAAGAAATCTATTAACGCTTCTGTATCACAATGTATTATTTTTAATCTCCACGATAATGTACAATATTTCACTATTTGCATACTCATTTTCTGGGCATAAATACAGTTTTGTACAAGGAAGCGAAGGCTGACCTACATCATTCTATCTCATTTGCATGTAGACTTTGTGGCTTTGAACCATTCTATGATGAAAGAGGAGATCAATATATGTTCAAGAGGATTCTGAACTGTGAATATGATTTTGTTTCTCCCTGGTGGGATGATGTATCTCTGAATGCCAAGGATTTGGTAAGTTCAGTAAAGTTTTACACTTTTGAGTGGTGAAGTCACCTGCCTTTCAATTTCTTTTAATATTTATGTAATTTAACAAACAGCATTTATGTCATACTCTCTACATAGTGAGGGGGGGAGGAGGCAAAAACCACTAAACAAAGTGTGTACCCAATCTAGTAAATAACAGAGAGTAAACAAGTCTTCTCTGCCTCTTGGCTTCTCAATAAGACTTACTCACACAGAGAATTTACAGAATATTACAGAGAAAAGTCTGTGTGACATTTGCTTTCACATGGAGCACACCTGTATTTTCCCACTATTTTTTTCTGCCATTGATTAATGAGAGAAAGATGGACAAATGGACAAACAGCTGTCTAGTCTACATAATTTGGAACAACTTGCCTCCAGAAGTTGTGAATGCTCCAACACAGTTCTTAAGTTTTTAAGAATATATTGGATAACCATTTGTCTGAAGTTCTGTAGGGTTTCCCGACTAAGCAGAGGGTTGGACTAGAAGACCTCCAAGGTCCCCTCCAACCAGGGGTGGGTTCCAGCTGGCACTATTGATAGTTCGCTCCTGTGCACGTTTGATGTGTGCTATGCGTGCATGCACAGTGCAATTAAAATTGTTCTGCGCATGCATAGAACTGAAAAACAAGGTGGCGGCGCCAACCAAGGAACCTGTTTGGGGGTGTGGCAGGCCTGGGTTGCTGTCACTTCCAGCGACGCAGGCCGCCAAACCACTACCAGTTCGGACAAACCAGTCCGAACTGGTAGGAACACACCACTGCTTCCAACTCTGCTATTCCATTCTATTTCCCTTCTATTGCTTGC